GGTTTTTATTAGACTAAGCTGAAAGAGATAAAGGTCTGCATTCATGTTGGGTATTTCAGCATTAAATTCAGCTGTCTATAAGATGAAGGACATCGTTAGAAACCTTTTCTGCTCTCTGTCATACTGACACATCAATTGATCATTATTTTAAAATGTCTTTGTAAGCATACAAATATTTCACCAACTCTCTGGCTGGTACATCTTTTTTAAGGTTTTGGGATCTTGGATTCATCACTGTCATTTAAAAATCTCTACTCTTTTGCTGTCTTTATCTATCTAAGGTATCCACCATTTTTTGATGATAATCCTTTTGGCATCTACCAGAAGATTCTTGCCGGAAAGCTGGAGTTTCCACGGCATCTGGATTTCTATGTAAAGTGAGTTTGATAAAGAAAACACAACCCAAAAAAAATGACACATGCCATTTTTATTGCATACATAAAACACAACGTCTAGTGAAATCATGTCAGCATAAACAATAAATATTTCATCTCAATTTATTTATTTATTTTTTGGTTACTAAAACTTACAGCCAATTTTCATATAGTGAAATTAAGCTGAAAAGAAAAAATATATATTCAAAATATATAACATTTTTAAATGGAAAAAAAAAAGTATAATAATATTAAATAATAATTGTCAGGTGTGGTGGTGGTGAAAGGAGCAAGGACTCAGGTGCAGAGATAATGGGTCTTTTAATGATAAAAACAAGACAAAAATGCAAACAAAACTACCCCGTAGGGGAAAAGACTTGATAACTTGACTTGATTTAACTTGACACGAGCGGAAACACCAGGTACATACGACAACGAAACAGCACAGGACTGCAGACACAAGGAGAATAAATAGGGAGAACAAACAAAGGAGGTAACAAGGGAGGACAGGTGGGGCAAATAATCAATCAGCTAACGAGGGAGGACTGGAGGGGCAAATGAAACGGGTAACAAGATGGGAGGGCCTAGACAATAAACAGGAGAGCACATGGCACAAGGAAACATAATAATAATAATAAATAATAATTCGTTACATTTATATAGCGCTTTTCTGGACAATCAAAGTGCTTCACATAGAAGGGGGGGGGGGGGGATCTCCTCAACCACCACCAATGTGCAGCATCCACCTGGATGATGCGACGGCAGCCATATTGCGCCAGAACGCTCACCGCACACCAGCTTACTGGTGAAGAGGAGACA